CCGGTTAAGGGCATGTACCTGGGTTGCGGGCACATCCCCAGTAGGAGATGTGCAGGAGGCAGCTAATCGATGTCTCTCTCTCATCGATGTTTCTAACTCTCTATCTCTCTCCCTTCCTCTCTGTAAAAAATCAATAAAATATATTTTAAAAAAAAGATGATAGATAGATAGAATATGTATATATGAAATCTCACACACAGATACACACACACACTCAGATCAAAACGTTCTCATCCTACCAGTAGGAAACAACTGGGGTAGATTGTTAATGTAGACCAAAAAAAAGAGCCACATACTAAACCTGACAAGCTCAGGAGACACCTGCATGGTGGACCTTATAAATTCAGAGATTGAATGTAGCCGCATAGGATGATCTGAACATAAAAATTCCGAACTAAAAGTGGGTCATGACTGTAGTCATGTCCTAGGCCTGTAGCTTCCTTGACAAAAGTCTATCCCTACCTTCAGTGAGCCTATGTACATTCTTAAACCTCTTCTGTCTCCCCCTTTGATTCTAACACAGACAATAAGCTGCAAAATTGCCATTCTCTGGAGCATGTTCTCAATTCATTGAGATTTTGCTTCCCAGAAATTGTCCATCATTTTGGCTCAAATAAACTCATAAAAATTCTCTACAAGTTTGGACAGGTCTTACATCGACATTAGAAGGAATGGCTCTGGAGGAGTATAAAAGACTTACAGCCTTCTGGTTAAAAATGGAGATGTCCCCCCTGTACCCCCAAAACCAGAAACCTTCCTTTCATGGCTTAGCTAGTATTCTTCAGAAGCGGAAGAGTGAGAACTTCCGGACTTCCCGGCCTTATCTGGCAGCAGCATTGCTTGTGTTGTGAATCACTGAGTCAGTGTGTTGGCCAAGGATTGGAAAGAGCAGGGCTGTCTCCTTTACCCAGAATGGGTGTCTGCCATTTTTTTTTAATCTGTGGAAATATAAATGTCCATAAGGAGATCTACACAGGAGGCCCTTGACATCAACAGGGAATTCTTCCAAAGACCCTTCAGGTGTCGTCATTCACTCAATCTCATATAGTGCCTCCCAAATGAACGTTGTAAATTATAGCCAGAAAGTTTTAAGTGATTCCATTTCAGACCCTAATCGATTCCATAAATGCAAAAGAAACGTTATTTATAAAATTTGTTGTGTGAGGAGTATTAACCATGTTCAATGCTTTGCACCCGAGGTCCCAAAGAAGAAAATAAAGAAGGAAACTTGCTTAGTTAATAGTAGATCTTTTCATTTTTCATAAGGTTTAATTAATCTCTTTCAAAGAGCTGTTTCTGCACTGGCTGACGAACTCACTGAAGCCACTAGCCAATGCATTTTTCCTTGCAACCATGTGACACACATGGTATAGATCTCTGGATATCAGAGATCCTACGCACACGGAACTTGACATTCCATGCCAGTTTATCCAGAACTTTTCTTTGCGGCCCAAAAAAATCCCTTTCTTGGGCTTCTTCACTTTGTTTTCATGCTTATCACTGGCACTAGTAACTGATTTATTTTCCCGAGTCTTTTCTACTCCTGCAACAAGAAGCAAAGATTTTAGTCACCACATGCAGGTTACATGAAGGCTATCACTAGTAGGGAATAACTAGTAAAGTCACACCACATGAGATGTCAAGGTGGAACAGGAGGCCTCGTTCATTAGTAAAGGACTGGCACAGGTATAACCAGTCTTGCAATTCACACTCACTTACAATGGGCCTTTGAGAGTAGCTAATGAACTACAGGAACTGTGATGAACCTGCAAATGTGGAGCACTTGCAGTGTGCTCTTTTAATAACACTTATGTAGTGATCATTTGTTACTTTTCTCGGAGAATTCCTCAGCTCATAAATCTTGGTGGGCAGCAGGGACCACTTCCTACTACAGAAGCACAAGTTAAAAATACTCACTTTTCCAGGTCCCTAAGCAGCTAAGACTAAGGTACCTGACCCATCAGCTGCATTTGTTTAGGATTTTTTAGACCAGAGCTGGGAATGGGAGAAACTCTTTACAGCGGTGGACTAGCCAGCGGTGGCGGCAGTGTCCGGCGTCGAACCTCGCTAATGGGATCAGTGTGGTCTCCAGCATCCAGTCCCAGCTGTATCTTTGACAAAGGCTGCGGCAATGAGCACACAGCAGCAACACTGAGGCTCTCTTCACCCACCGGGCTCTGCGATGTGATCTTTGTAGAGTTCTAGGTGCCTGATCTCCCTTTGTTTCTGCCTCGTTCCCAAAGCTTGTGTCTGCAGCCTTCTCGTGATTTTTGTAATCTGCCTGTAAAATTATGGTATACTAAGAAATATATATATTTGGCCTTCAGCCCTGTCCTTGGAATTTTCAAAGTGTTAGCGGTGAGAGGAATACCTTTGTTATTTATAATAAGCCCCTTTCAACCTTACCTGCGTTTATGCTAATAAAGTGACTCTTGGAGGATTGGGGGCTGGTTGCCAGGAAACAATCATATGATTAGAGAGTTGGAACTTTCAGCCCCAACCTCTGGGGAAGGGAAACGGGCTAAAGATTGAGTTTAATCACCAATGGTCAACATTTATTCAGTCCTGCCTATGTAATGGAACCTCCACAAAAACCCTAAACAAAGGGGTTCAGAGAGCTTCCGGGTTGGTGAACACATCAAGGTGCTGGGAGGGAGGTGCATCCAGAGAGAGTGTGGAAGCCTCATATCCCTTCTCACACACCTTGCCCTGTGCATCTTTCCCATGAAGCTGTTCCTGAGTTGTATCCTTTACAATAAACTGGTGTTAGTAAGTAAAGCCCTCTCCTGAGTTCTATGAGCTGTTCTAGGAGCAAATTATTGAACCTGAAGAGGGGTCATAGAAACCCCAATTTACAGTCAGTTGGTCAGAAGTACTGGGGGCCCAGACTGGCAATTGGCATCTGAAGTGGGGAGAAGTCTTATAGGACTGAGCCGTTAGCCTATGGGGTAGTTAGTGTCAGAATAGCTTGGCGTGGAAAACTCACACATTTGGTGTCAGAAGTGTGAGTAAAAATAGAGAAATACTTTTTTCTTTTACTATCCAGTGTGCTTTCAATAAAATGCACTTACTGGTGCAATCAGCCAGAATCAGTTTCTCTCCCTTGCAACCAAGAACCTAACTAATACATCTGAACAGCCAAGGAACTCTTCTAAACTCTATCTGGGGCAGGTTACACTCATTTCTTATTCTGTATTTAGGAGACACAGTGTAAGGAAAGCACAGAACCAGGAGACCTTTTTCTGGTCTAGCCTCTGCCACTTCCCAGCGGTGAAACCTGCAGCAAGTCCCTTCTCAGCTCTAAGCAACTATTCTCTCATATGCACAGTAAACAGTCTGCACTAGACCAGCAGTTCCCCAAACTGGCTATGTTTTAGAATCCCTTCAGACATGTATTGTTCATACAGATTCCTGGGCCCCACCTTGAAGAACCTAAGTTAGGAGATTTAGTAGATCCCTGACAAGTATACCAGTGAAGTGGAGGCAGCAGCACCTTTGAGAACCACAAGCCAAGGCTCTCTATGGCCCACTCCATGGCACATACCCTGGAAGAGACGGTTTTATTGCTGTATTCCTCGTGCCCAAAAAGTTCCTGGTGTACAGGAAGTGTTCAGAAAACACCTGTATCTGAGAAAGGGTAAACAGAAACTCTCTGAAACCTTCCTGTAAATCTAAAATTATTTCAAAATAAGTAAAACGTTTATTGAAAAGAATACTAGAAAGAAGAAAGGACGAAGGGGAAAAGGAAAGGAGGAAGGAAGAGAAGGGAGGAAAGGTGGAGGAGGGAAGAAGGGGGAAGAGGAATTTTACCAACACCACATTAACTAAGAGTCTTATATCACTGTATATTGAAAAGCATCTCTCATCACCTTTACCTCTGCTCGCGCACACCGCACCCCCACCCCCACCACACTCTCATTCTGCCATCATCAGGCTGTCAGAGGAGACCGGTGGAGCCACCATGCTGTAAAGGCTACACAAGGGTTTGTGGCCCGTCTTTGAAGAGCACTGTTCCTTGTACGTGGCACTGTAAAGACCTGAGTTCTACTCCCAGCATCCACACTTAATTTCCCTGGGCCTCAGTTTCCTCAGCTGTAAAACAGAGCTCCTCTCTCCCCTCCGTGCCTCACAGGATTATTGTAAGAATCAAATGAAAGAAAAGTTGTCACATTAGTGAGCATTCACTATGTGCCGGGTTCCATGCTCAACACTTCATGAGCGTTCTCTCCGTTCATTTCCACAACAACCTGTACAGCAGGATAGTAACATCTCCATTTTATGGATAACAAAACTCAGGCTTCCAGAAAACTTGAACAAGGTCATAGACCCCTGAGGGGAGGGCTGGGAGAGGAGCCCAGGGCGTTTGACTCCAAGACCCTGGGTGTTCCTCTACCATGTGATTTCTACACACCTAGTGTACTAGTAGTATATCTTTATTTTTATTATTTCCATCCCAACCTTCCCTCTAACTCTCTCTTCTTCCTCCAGCTTCCCAAACTGAACTAGACTAGACCCTGGGAGTTCCCAAATGGGAGCCACAGAACTGGCAGGTCACCAGCCCTGAGGACGGGACTGGGAATCCCCGCCACTTCCAGTGCTGCCACAGGGAGTCAACATGGAGACAGGCATCCAGGAAAGGAAAAGATTTTTCTCTCTGGAACCCAAAGGACTAAGTCAGGCTCACCTTCCCTTCTTTACCTCACCCAGAGGAGCACTGGCAAGGCCACCACTTTAGACAACGCCTCTCTGGCCGAAGAGAGTTGTGATCATTAGCTTGTGCTGCTTTCCTCGCTGCAAACAAGTAGGTTCTAAATATCTGAATTGTTTTTTTTGAAACAGCTGGCCCCACCCATTCTCTGGTACCAGGCAGGCCCCTGGCAAGGATGAGTGCAGCCTTGATGTGGCTGGGGAGCCCAGGAGGCTGGGCAACAGGCTGGGCTGGGTATACCCAATTGCTGCCCAGCTGGGCCTGGTGTGGAGACTTTTGGTGGTGTTGCTAGGCAACATAAGTAATTGGAGAGGCCACGTATTGGGCTTCTGGACCACAAAGATTAACAGCCTCCTTCATCACACTGCAAACCATCATTATGCCAGTTCCCAGAAGCCTGCAGCAATCTCCGTGGTTATAGCCTGAAAGAGTGCTTTTTTAGCTACAGAAATTAAGAACCAGCTTTTCAGTATTATGGGTTTGTGGCTGTGGTTGTTTCTTTTTGCTACATCTCTGAGGATACACTTGGAATAAATAGGCAAAAGGTTTAAAAACAAAAAATACCCTCTTTTCCAAAAGTTTTCCTTCTTCCTGAAGCAAAGCGCTCTTGGCTCGATAGTGAGGGCAGCTCAGGTAAGGACACGCGGCCTCCTAAGGCCTCTGCACGCCGGCTGCATGGCGAAGCTCCTTCCTCGGAATCCCTCCGCTGTGGCTGGGGTGCAGGGTAGGGGGACAGGGCCTTGGTCGTGCGCAAGGCCTCACAGCAGAATAATGCTTTTGTGTCTCTCTCCCATTCTAAGAAAATCACAATACCTCCTCTTCCCAGGCTACAGAACCACTCTCACTTCTACTATTTTCTTTTTTATTGTTTGATTTTAGAGCAGTGGTTCTCAACCTTCCTAATGCCGCGACCCTTTAATACAGTTCCTCATGTTGTGGTGACCGCCAATTTCATTGTTACAAATTGAACATAATTAAAGCATAGTGATTAATCACAAAAACAATATGTAATTATCTATGTGTTTTCCAATGGTCTTAGGCAACCCCTATGAAAGGGACGTTTGACCCCAAAAGGGTCGCGACCCACAGGTTGAGAACCGCTGTTTTAGAGTGAGAGAAACCAGGAGAGAGAGAGAGGGAGGGGAAGAGAGAGGGGGAGAGGGGTCAATATGAGAGGGAGGGAAAGGGGGAGGGAGGGAAAGGGAAAGATCGATTTGTTGTTCCACTTATTTATGTGTTCATTGGTTGTTTCTTGTATGTGCCCCAACTAGGGATCAAATCCACAACCTTGGTGTATCAGGATGACATTCTAACCAACTGAGCTACCCAGCCAGGTATACTATTTAATGGATCCTCCCAGTGGCCCTATGAAAAAGACATCATTATTATTCCCATTTTACAGATGAACAAATAAGGCAAAAAGAGGCATCCATGATTACATACCAAGTCACAGCAAAGCTGTGGCACTAACCCATTTTTCTGAAGCCAAATCCTAGGCTCTCCACTCCATCACAATGCCTCCCCACAGAGCTATTTAAGATATTACATATGTTTTTGTAGCCTATTATAATATGGAAAATAGTCATAAAAGTACACACTGGTGTAGAAACACAGAACTTTAATATATATATATATATACATACATATATATATATCTCCCTAATATGCAAATAGACCAAACAGTAGAACAACCAAACAACCAGTCGCTATGATGTGTGCTCTCCCCACCCTGATCAGGGGCAGTGTCAGCTGGCCAACCTGCCACGGCCCCTCCCCCAGCCCACTGGCCCCTGATCGGCACCACCCATCCACCCCATTTAGGGGTGGGGCCAGCCGGCCCACCACCCACAGCCCCTCCCCATGGCCAGCCCTGCCCCCACTTGGCCCCCTCATTCCGATCAGAGGTGGGGCCTGCCAGCCAATCACCCACGGCCTCTCTCCCCAGCCAGTCCAGCCCTGATCAGGCCCCAACTGGGGCAGGCCGGCCAGCCAACCTCCCACCATCTCCTCCTCCCAACAGGCCTGGCGTAGATCCACCCCGATTAGGGCCAGGCCAGCCAGACCCCAGCCATGTACGAATTCGTGCACTGGGCCTCTGGTGACAAAATAAAATGGTGGTTGTTTTAAGCTACTAAATTTTGGCATGATTTGTCATACAATAGCTACCAACACACCTCATCAGAACTAGAAGACAGAAGGACATCCCATACCATTCTGCCTTCCCATTAACATTGTTCATCTTCGTAACCCTCCATTAAGTAGATTGTAGTCTCCATCTGGGTTTCCACCCCTGCCCCCCTCCAAAACAAAACAAAACAAAAACACGCCCGGCTGGCATGGCTCAGTGATTGAACGTCAGCCTATGAACCAGGAGGTCCTGGTTCGATTCCCAGCCAGGGCACATGCCCAGGTTTCAGGCTCCATCCCCAGTGGGGGGTGTGCAGGAGGCAGCCAGCCAGCCAATGATACTCTTTCATCATTAATGTTTCTCTCTTTCTTTTTCTTCTTTCATTTCTGAAGTCCATAAAAACATATTTTAAAAAAAACACAACCTCAAATCAAAATATAGCAACCCTCTGCTTAAAAATCCTTCAATGGTTTCCCATTGTCTTCGAGATAAAAACAATATCCTTTCTATGGCTGATAAGGTCCTGCATGACCCAGCTCCTGCCTGCCGTGTGGAATTCTTCCACTCTCCCCCAACATCTCTGTGCTGCAACCACAGGGCCTCCTTTCTGTCCCAGGAACACACCAAGCTCTCTGCTGCCTGCGGGTTTTTGGGCTTGCTGTTTCCTCTGCCTAACCCTTTCTCTATACCTCACACCCACCCCAACACATTCACACAAGGCTAGCTCTTTCATAACCAATAGCACCTCCCTAAGAAGTCTTCCCTAATAAACCAGCAAGTAAATGAAGAGTGAACGGAGAAGGAAGTATGGAGTAATAGAAAGAGCACTGAAACTATAGCATTCAGAAAACCCTGGCTCTTGCTCTAATTCTGCCCCTGTTTACCTGTGGATAAGACACGTCACCTCACCTGACCAGAATCCACATGCCCACCATGATGCACGTGGCTAGTGAGTGATGTTCATAATGTGCCATACACCAGAAGTCCTCCCAATTCTTGCTCATGAGTCCCCATAACAATTTTGAAAAAGCTATGACCCTCTCACACATTTTTTAAATATATTTTTGATTTTTTTTTTACAGAGGAAGAGAGAGGAATAGAGAGTCAGATGAGAGAGAAACATCCATCAGCTGCCTCCTACACACCTCCTACTGGGGATGTGCCCACAACAAGGTACATGCCCTTGACCAGAATCGAACCTGGAACCCTTCAGTCCGCAGGCCGACGCTCTATCCACTGAGCCAAACCACTCAGGGCCCTCTCACACATTTTTAAGTTAATAACTAAAATTATTTTTCACAAGTCAAAATAGGCTCCAAGATGGAATCTTCTGGCACAGCCTTTATTAGAGGCATGCTTTCGATACAGTCTCATCCAAACCTTGGAGCTACAGACTTAGCATGTTCAATTTATGGAACTTGTCTACCATAGAATCCAACTGTCAAAGCCAGTCCTCACTGTCAAACCAATCAGCCAAACAAGCATCATTTTCCTCTGGTAAAGACAATCCACCTTCATTTTTAACAATTTCTATAAATGAGTTCATCTGCATCCCCATGACAACCGGCTCAGGTCCCAGTTCTAATTTTACAATACATAGATAGAGAGCTGAAGCACTTGCGTTGAGAATAGCCTAACAGTTCAGAGCACACACGCTAAAGGGAAGGTATGAGAGTTCAAACGCCGATTTTGCCACTAAAAAGCTCTATGACCTTGAGCGACTTATTAAGCCTCTGGGTGCCTTGGGAACCTCATCTGTCAAAGAAAGATAATAAGTATCTACTTTATAGAGCTGGTATGAGTATTAAATGATCTTATTAGTTTGTAAAGTCTTTCGAACAGTGTCTGGCACATAATTAGCATCAAATAAGTATTTTTAAAAATAAATACCAGAGTCTGTAGTAGTAAGACACCACCCCTTCCATTTATTTTACCTGATCTCTCTCTCTCTCTGCTTGCTCTCACTGGAACTGAGCATTCTCCAATTATCCTTTTGGTTTTTATATCCCCAAGCAACTCACCATAAAAAGATTCAGGAAGGACCCAGTAGAGCCAGAGAAGGGAAACAATGGAATTATTGTAGGCGGTTAGACATGAGCAGAGCAAGGATGGTGGGCCAGGTACAGAAGGTCACCAGGGTGGAAAGCCCCAGGAACCTAGCAACAATCAATTATAGGGCAGGACCTCGCCCCCAGGGTGACTTTTCCTCCACTGGCATATCGCTGGAGTTTGGACACCCTGACCTTCCCTCCCTAGAGATAGCATCTATGCCTCAAGTTGTATTTCAGCTCCAGGCCCAGAGAAGCAACAAAACCAGCCACAGCTGACAGGACCAGCTGCATGGAATAAAGACCCCTTTGTCCTGGTGCAGGCCAATCAGTAGAGACTGCAACCCTGATTGGACACACCTGGAAAGCGACTGAATATTCTCTTAGATCTTTCCTGGGGCCTCCCCTAAAATCTCCGCCCCTCAAACCCTTAGGAGACCCAGTGCCTTACCCTTTCCTTCCCCCTGCCCCCCCTCCAGGCACATTACCATTAGCTTCCACTCCCAAGATCCAAGGGCTCTTCCTTTACCTCCATAACGTGCTTTCTACGCCCCTTTCCTCTAGCAATTACTTCTCCTACCTCTGAGATGTACTCAATAAATGTTCTCTTACAGTTTGGGTCTTGCTCTGAATTCTTTCCTAGCAGAACCCAAGTACCGAGGTTGCTGAACCCAGGTTGGGTCTAACCCCACAGGTCAGATGCCTGCTGCCCGTCCTGCCGCCGACCACAGAACCACACCGCCGCGCTGTTCCCACCACCTACAACAAAAGCAGAACTGAAAAGGAGAACTTAAAGAATCCAAACAAGCAGGCTGTTTTCAGGAAAGAGTACCTCTGGAATTTGAGGATCTGGAAACTGATTCCCTTAAAGCAGTGGTTCTCAACCTTGGCTGCACATTAGAATCACCTGGGAATCTTTTTAAAATCCTGATTTCTGGGCCTCGTCCTCCGGAAATTCTGTTTCTTTGTTATGGGGTGGGGCCACAACATTAGTAACAAAGAAACAGAATCCTGGAGGATGAGGCCCAGAAATCAGGATTTTAAAAAGATTCCCAGGTGATTCTAATGTGCAGCCAAGGTTGAGAACCAGTGTCTTAAAGGTATCCTTGTCCCCCCAGTTCCAGAGCCACTGACATATTCAGCACAAACTCCCACGGGCACATTCAGAGCTCCTAGAATTCCTGGTGTCACGTCTACAACTCCACCTCTTTCTCTTTTACATCAGAAAGCACAGCGTTTGCCTTTGGGCTTTTGACCTGGTGGAGGCTTAGGCAAAACTTTCTTTGATCCTCCTGAATCTGGATTCATCTGACCGGTCACCATGCCACCCAAGGAGATCAAAAGTCATACACCTGAGGTGAACCAGTGGGGGAGTGGTGGCCCCCAAGACTGGTCCCCTAGGCCTGACTCCAAAAAAGTTTGGTGATGACATCACCCAAGCAACCAGTGATTGGAAGGGTCTAAAGATTACAGTGAAACTAACCATGCAGTACAGACAGGCCCAGATTGGGGTCGTACCTTCTGCCTCCGCCCTAATCATCAAAGCCCTCAAACAATTGCCAAGAGACAGAAGGAAGAAAAACACACAAACATTCGGCACTGTGGAAATAATCACTTTTGGTGAGATTGTCAGCATTGCCCAACAGATACAGCACCGATCTTTGGCTAGAGAACTTTCTGGAACCATTTAAAGAGATCCTGGGGGCTAACCAGTCTGTGGGCTGCAATGTTGACGGCTGCCACCCTCATCACATCATAAATAAATCAACAGTGGTGCAGTGGAATGTCCAGTTAAGACCCCCCCAAAGGAACATATTTCAATTAAAGATCACTGACAACCCCCCCAAAAAAACATAAAGGATTGCAAGTTAGCAAGCAGAATATCTCTGAATTTGCTCCAGATTATACAAGTGTAAATCATTCATAAATTTCAGTACTTTTATTAGGAAGAACAGATTAGCTGTAACCCAGTGTACAGCTGAGGGCAAAGCACCCATAGATCAGGACACAGGACAAGTCAGGAGTCCCTTCTTGAACATCATGAAGTCCTAACAATGAAGACTTGTTGCCTCAGACGGGTAGGAACCCCATCAGGCCCACAGACCTTGGTGTCGTCTCCTCGACTCCCACGCATAAGCCACACTTCTGAAATACAAATCAGATGATGTCCCCACTTTGCTAAATCTCTTCACTAATTACCCAGCGCTCTTGGTATGAAACTGAGGTTCCTTAACAAGACACACAAGGGCCTCATGACTGAGCCCTGCCTATGTATTCACTCATTTCTTGCCATTCCTCCATACACACCCTACTTCAGCCATATAGAGCCCCCAGCCATTGCAGCTCCCTCCCTCCACTAGGCCTTTTCATGAGCATCTCCCTCCGTAGAATATTTTCCCTCCCCAATTGGTTTTCCGAGTGAAGGTTTAACACCCCCTTCAAGATTGTCCTAAACACCTCCTCTGCAAAACTGTATTGAGCTTCTACCATGTGCCTGCCATTGTGGTAGGCTAGGCCCTGGATCCAGTGGAGAACAAAGCAGACACGGTAGAATTAAATGCCCCTCTTAGTTCCTTCAACAACCTCTATTCCTGTCCTCTGTATATTACCACCATCTCCTCTGCAAGGCTGTGAGTACCCTGAGGATAGGACTTCCGTTTTATTCATCTTCAAATCCCTATCATGGAATGTATCCCTGGAATGTATTAATAAATGTTTGCTGGACTCATTTACTCACAAAGGACTCATCAAATATTTCTGTATCAGGGACATACAAGTTGCTGGTTATACAACTGTGAATCAACAGACATTGCTCCTGCCTTCTTAGGAGCAAGAGTGCACTTGATGGAATGAATGATGTATGAATGAGTGGATGAATGAATGAATCAGGGAAGGAGTGTGCTCCTCCCCACCTGAGTGAAAAGTCTAGAGCAGGGGATGTACGGGAAGGGAGAAGCTGGTGTCTAGGATGTTGGGGACCGATGATGTCCTTTCGTTCTCTCTGATACAGAGAAACTGATTAGCCATGTGACCTTAGGCCACTGGTTCCCAATCTTCCTAATGCCGGGACCCTTTAATACAGTTCCTCATGTTGTGGTGACCCCCAATTTCATTGTTACAAATTGAACGTAATTAAAGCATAGTGATTAATCACAAAAACCATATGTAATTATATGTGTTTTCCGATGGTCTTAGGCGACCCCTGTGAAAGGGCCGTTCGACTCCCAAAGGGGTCACGACCCACAGGTTGAGAACCGCTGCCTTAGGCAAATCCTTGAGCCTGTTTGTATTTTCATTTTAACAATATCACCACATGTCATGGTTAAGTGAGACAGGACATTTAAAAGCAGAGTTGGTTTCAGGAACTCAAGTAGCTCCCGTCACTTGCTCAGTGTGAATGCACAGATTCAGAAACACAGCAGGAGAGCCTGCTGGGGATAACGTCTCCATCCAGCGCCAGGTTCCATCCCTGGTCCAGCATTCTCACCTCAAACCCGGAGATGGGAGACGCCTTCCCTATTCAGCCCAACCCCCACACCATCTTGGCCTCCTTCCCTTCACCGCCCAGTTCTGTGTTTACTCTCAAGTGCTTTCGAGGCCAGAGGTTCTTATACATCTTTACAAACCTAGAAGGGGGGTGGGGGTGGCGGTTAGGGGAGGTGGCAGGAAAGGGGCCAAAGAAGAAGGAAAGAGCACAGTTGTCTATTGAGGCTCACTGTGTGCCTGGCACCAGGGGGGTGCTTGACATGCCCTGTCTCCTGTCATCTTCAGAGCAATACCATTTTCCTGATGGGGAAACTGAGGCTGAGGAAGAGCACAGGAGAGGTGGGACAGGAAGCCAAGTGTGTCTATGATGCCAAAATAATTTTCCTCGGTGCCACATTGCCCACCAGCTTATAAACGACCCTTACATGTCTGTGAAATAAATTTCCGCTTTCTTATTCCCTGGAAGAGCAGAAATTGTATGTTTCCCCCCCCCACCCCCCACCTGAGAATCCAGATACATGTTCAAACAATGA